GATTTAACAGAAATAATGCTGCCCTGAGCTTAATTCGAGGGTTTCGCATGGCATGGCTGGCTGGGGAATTCTGGGAGTTGCAGTCCATACATCTTCAAGCTGTCAAGGTTGAGAAACACTGCTGTAGATGCTCCTGTGTAGAACAGGAAGAAGGCGGTGGTGGCTTTCTCCAGGCAGAGTAATAGTGCAGTAGGTTATGGTTTTCCTGCTGTGTAAACACAACACATTTCATTTGCTTAAGCCTCTGAGCCACTGTCATTAAAGATACAAGCACATGCCTAACAAACGTAGTAAGTCTATCCGTGAGGGGAGCTATAAAAAACTTATTTCTCAGTCTCCAGCCCATGTACTCCTGCCTGGATAGTCCTCTGCTAATGGCCACTCGAGTCCTTAGAAGCAACTTACAACCAAGAAGCAAGGTACTCATGAGGTCTTCTTTAATCAGACTTATTGAAGGGGAGACAAATCTGGGAGACTAGTATGTTTACTTGGCTCTTGTTCCTTTTCCCACCACCACTAGTGATAAAATGCAATGTCCAAAACGGATTTTGCCTGCCAAAGAGACACTACCAAAATCAGTGGACGTAATCGATTAGCACAATATCCTTGTTGTGATTACAACGTTGGTACATAAATTCACAAAGGGCATTGTCAACCATGGATTGACAACCCTAACCCTAAGCCATTTGGCAGGGAGAAAAGTGCAAGACAGTGAAATAAGTGGATGTAACCAGTTGGGGCACAGACTTACTGGTGAGCCAGAAAGAAACAGGAGATGTTTACTTTAGCTCTCACTTTATCGTTAAATGTGTTAGGACAGATCTTGTTTGATCTCGTCCTCACCGCTTCCTGAGGCACCGGGAAGATGCTCAACCGTTTTCTTCATACCTGAACAATGTGCAGGTCTTCTTCAGTTGTAATATTTTCTCCTTCTCAGCTTCTGAGAAGCCCCATCCCGTTGGCCGTGGCCCACAGATTCACTCTGCCTTCTGAGTGGTTGTACTGCCATTACTGCCAATATCAAAGTCAAGAATTTGTGGTTGAGCATTATTCCCCTCCCCTCTGGCATTTCCCTTTCGTGTACGCAAGCAGCTTCAGCTCTCCAAAACTGTCTTGTTGATTCTGGAAGTAGTTGTGGCTGGGCCTGGACTAGAAACAATATTTCCTCTCCACTCCCTTCCTGCTGCATGCCACATGCCAGAAATTATACACTCAGTCAATTCAAGGCAATTTATTTGGATACAAGGATCAGAATAATTTCTTGGATACAATTAGAAAACAAATTCTACTAAAACTGATGCTCGTGCATGGGTGGTAGTGCAAGAAAGTTGTGTACATTACACTAAACAAATACCAAGTGCTAAGCATGTTATGTGAGATCCTGAAACAGAAAGCCAACAGTGGATGTGTATCCATCATGCTATTGTCATTTTATTTTATTCTATTCATTAAATTTATACAGTGTAGCCGCCCACCTCACATATGTGACTCTGGGCGGCACGCACAATTAAAATAACAAAAACCAAACAATGAAAACAATAAAAAACTCCAAACCATT